TTGCTGGGTCATTGGACTTCAAACATTTCTGAACCCTACAGCAATTTGAGATTCTGATTAAAAAAAAAAAAAAAAAAGAAAAGAAATCTCTCCCTAGGATAGCACACATAACGACAATTCTGGACTCAATTTCAGTGACACTTCTGACCTAACACCACAAGGATAAGAAACCAATGGGTCTACCACTTGTTTGAAAATACAGATACACACATACCTACCTATGAAATCATGTGATCCTAAACTGAAGGATTATTTGTTTCAACAATGCAAAGTACTTACGAGGTTTATTAATAGCCTTATGTTTTCAGTAACAACATACTATTAATGGCAATGAGAGAAGTCCCACCAGAAATAAAACAGCATGTTTATTTTCAAGTACAATGCATAGAACTGACACAGACTATCACTCCAGTCACACAATGGCTGTTCAGAGTTCTCAGTTAATAGAATATTCACAGTTTAAGACCAAACACAATGCACAAAGAACAGAAAAACAGACAAAGTTGCCATATCAGGGATAGCAGCATTAGCTGCACGGCAACAGAGACTGTGGGGAGGGCTACACATAAAATATTTTCTATTAAGTGTCAGTAAAAATAAAGTCTGACAAAATATTTCATTCATTTGCTTTAAGTGATTTTACACAATAGAGCTACAGAACACAGGCTTGGTCCATCTTTCCTCTTAAATAACCAAAAGATGGTACTCGATCTAATCTCTTTCATGTAATTAGAAATCACCTGAAAAATGCAGAATCTGGCTGTGAGAGGGATTTGAGAATCGACAGATCTGTTTCCCCACTTGTAATATATGAATAGCAGTACTTACTCCACAAAGACGAGAAGCACACGTTTTCAAGGGTGTCTCTCTAATGTGTTAAAACAATGAAATACTGATTTCAACGTTTTATGCCAGTTCTGCCTATATTCCATATTTTTTCCATTCAACAAACACTTATTTAGTGAATTATCACTATGAGCCAAACAGTATGACAAAATCGAGCAAAATCAGACCCAACTTCTGTCTTGATGAAGTTTGCTAGCTCTTCATACATTAGAAAGCTTTAAGTTGGAAAGGTCCACTAGCTGATGTTGACAACTAATTTTTGTAAAGCATTTTACAGATTATAAAGTACTATCCGATGTACTGACTCATGAAATCCTCACTGTAGCTCTGAGTTGTACTGGTAACTCACCTCATACACAGGTTAAGAAACTACAGCTCGGAGAGGCCCAGTGGCTTACTGATGCTGGAATCTCCTTTGCTGATAATCTCAGTGCACTACACCATCTCACTGCAGCTAAGTTTTAGGTCATGAGGATAAAACGTGCAAAAAACACTCTGAGCTCTTTATTGGGAACATGATCTAGAGCAGCTGTCTTCCCATCCTCCCCAGAAGCAGTTGTTACCTAGCTCTGGCAGTGTGTAGAAAATTCAATTTACTTAGTTGAGAAAATCCCAATTTACCTATGTTATAAAATGGTTACTCTGCTGAACGATGCCTTGACTATTTCTGTCACACATGCAACCTAACAGTATCGCACTGTAGCCTGCCATGTGCCTCTCTTCCTTGCTCAGTTTCTATAGTGCTTTCTGAATACAGAAAACTTTCCAAGTATTTCCCTGATTACAGACTCTTAACAATTAGTTTTCTATAACAGTGTGGCTTAAATGGTAAGACTGAAATGTGAAAGCTGTAGATGAAATAGTGACATGGTCATATATTAAAACTTTTGTGACATTTTTTAAGGAACCGTAGATCACTGTGCAACATTCAACCCACTGCCAAAATCCCTATTACAGCATCTGCAATTTGGGGTAATCTGACTTAACACATGCAGTTCATATTACTGGTAACAGGCAGTCTGGCAATCAGCATTCGAAGTCAAAAATAAATAAATAGTACTAATGTTGACTCAGCTATTCCACTGCTGGAATAGCTGTCCTAAGGAAACAACTCAGCAAATGCATAGTGATGAGGGCATTTCAGTTATCTTCACTGCAGTGTTGTTGTTTCTATTAAGAAATTGGAAATAACCAAAGTAACTATCAGGGATCGTTTTAATAAATAAGAGTGCTTTCATACAGAGAAATGCTATGTAGCCATTAAAAATGATCATATAAACATAAATATTAACATAAAGATATACATGTTCTATCAAGTGAAGAAAATGAATACTAAATCGTATATATATCGATTTTATGTGTGTTTACAAAGCAAAAATCTTAATTTATTCAAATAGAAAAATATGTTCTTCTTACATCTACCCAAAAGTTCCAATCCTGTCTGCTGAAGTTGAGAATTAACTTTGCTCTCCTTTCTACCCGATAGCCTTTCAACTGTTCCTGGTAGGGCATAGTTTCTAGTCCATTTACTTCCCTGGCTTGCCCTGTTAAAATGTAGAACTTGTTTGAAAACAAGCCCTTAGAGGCAGCCTAATGAAGTCAGAAAACAACGGGATGATTATCTCCTTAATTCTGAATACTGTGCCATTAATGCTGCCAGAGAGGGCCACCCATATCAAATGGTTGGCTGCAACCTTAAATCTTTTTAACAAGAGCTGCTACTGATCCAGGCCTCCCATTCTATAAACATGCAACTTTTCCCCCTGACTCTAGGAAGTTGCATTCAGTAGAGTTTAATTGTATATTTATTCATGTTGATTGCCTTCTACTTTTTGCAGTCTTTTCTATCCTGGTTCCTGACATCCAGTTGGTCAGCTTCCCTCCCAACAATGGGACAGACACAAATTCGATCTGCCCTTGCTGATCAAAGACCATGCTTCTCAAACTAGGATACCATGACATTTGGAAAGGGCTACTCAAACATTTTATTTGGTGATAATTTAAAATACTTTTATCTAAAACAAACATGGGTATGTTAAAAATACAAACTGAATGTATCTTTATGCAAAAACAAGACTTCAAAGACATTTTGTCCTGGCTGTGCTTCTTTAGTCTCCCGAAACTCTGCCCACAATCCAACCTTTAACAACTGCACCCTCAACCCTCTACACCCTTCAAAATAAAGTATAAACCTTCCTCTTCCTTAATAGTTCCTTGACAGAAAAGTCAGAATAGTACTGGCAAGGCAATGAATTGCACAATGTCAACAGTTAATCAAGCTGCAATACATTCACCTATCTTATTATAATCAAGCTCATGCTTTTCCAACTTACCCGTAAAAAATACTAAGAAACTTAATGAAACGTGTAGTTTTAAAATTCTGATATCCCCTAACAACAACGTTACCCAAACTCTTTCTTCAATAAGCAATTGATTTAAAAATGAAATGAGGTTAATTTAGGAAAGGCTTGTTCTTGAGAAACCCACGCTGACTTAACCACGCTTCTTTCCCAGGTAACCACAAACTACCCCTTCTTCTTCTCTGCATTTATTCCATTAGAAGATTATTCCATATCTGCTGTTGAAAAGGCACTGAACTAGGGTCTACAAGATAAAACATGGATCAAGACAGAATCTTCTCTTCTAGGAGAAGAAAGGTGACACATAACTACAATACAAATAACTATAACACTAGGTAAAAATGCCTAAGGAAGTTCCAGAAACAGGGAAGCACTGGCCCGCAGAAGGAAGAGTACATGTAGAACAGAGTATGTGTGAAGGGGCATGACAAAGATAAGCCAGGAAGCTGAGGCAGGAGAATCGCTGGAACCCAGGAGGCAGAGGCTGCAGTGAGCTAAGATCATGCCACAGCACTCCAGCCGCCTGGGAGACGGAGCAAGACTCTGTCTCAAATAAGAAAACAAAACAAAAACAAAGATAAGACTGGGGTACATGGTAGAGAGCCACAACCGTATTTAACCTGAGAAAACTCAGATTTTGCTAGGAAATCACCTGAATGTTAATCACATTTAGAAAAATCTATCATTCTCTATTTCAGAAAATTTACATGTTTTTAATTTCTGAAAAATATCTGTCTTTTCAGTTTTTTGCCTCTCTCCTGTCTTGCAAGATTATCAACAGAAGTATACAAATCAGAAATTATTATGCACTTATAATTGACAGTTTACAGAGGTTTAAGGTTTATACAGCATTTTCAAGCAGATTGCCTCTGCAGGGCTTTTTTAAGTGTCCCAAGATACAATGAAACTGGGCCTGGACGCTCAAACTCAATTTCAAGTACCACATATTCAGTCACCACCCTCAGCCTAGGCATCCATCACTTTTACTTTTTTTTTTAACCTTTCCAATAAAAAAATTATCAACCTTCAAATTTTTTAAGCTTGGAAAAAATGAAAATCACAAGTGAATGACAGTGTTGACTTTACAATTAAAAACTTCAGTGCACAAAAATATTAAATGGATGATCTCTGTAAAAACCTCTGCAAGAAATTATAAACAGCAACTACTATTAACTTTTAGTTTAGAATAAATCTATAAAACCAAAAGAACACACTAGACAATTCAGAAGAAAGTGACAAATCTCTGGGAAAAACACTCAATGTGTATCAATAAGCTCCCCAAAAAGGCTCATTAAAAATAAAGATCACAGTTGTCAATTAAGAAATAAAGATGAGGGGCCGGGCGCGGTGGCTCACGCCTGTAAATCCCAGCACTTTGGGAGGCCGAGGCGGGTGGATCACGAGGTCAAGAGATCGAGACCATCCTGGTCAACATGGTGAAACCCCATCTGTACTAAAAATACAAAAAATTAGCTGGGCATGGTGGCGTGTGCCTGTAATCCCAGCTACTCAGGAGGCTGAGGCAGGAGAATTGCCTGAACCCAGGAGGCGGAGGTTGCGGTGAGCCGAGATCACGCCATTGCACTCTAGCCTGGGTAACAAGAGCGAAACTCCGTCTCAAAAAAAAAAAAAAAAAAAAAGAAATAAAGATGAAAAAATACAGTACATCCTTACTATTCTTGGATTCCACATTTCCAAATTCATCTACTCACCAAAACTTATTTATAGCCCAAAGACCAATCCTCAAGGTCATTTGTGCACACGTGTAGAGGACTGAACTATTCTTTTTCCTTTTTTATTATAGAATGCTTCATGAATTCGTGTGTCATCCTTGCACAGGGGCCATACTAATCTTCTCTGTATCACTCCAATTTTAGCATATGAGCCACTGAAGTGAACACACACCAAAATATTTGAGTCACTCCACATACAAGTACCCAGCCGAAGTCAAACCACCAACCTACACTCTTTGTTCTAGCCCTTACACTATAAACAAATGTCCTTTTTGTGGCCAGTTTTTAGGGTTTTATTTTTTTCATTTTTGTGGGTTTGCTGGCAATTTTACTGTTTAAAATGAGCCCCAAACATGATGCCTTAGTGTTGTCTAATGTTCTTAATCACAACAAGGCCATGATGTGCCTTAGGGAGAAGAGATGCATTGGTTAAACTTCATTCAGGCATGAGATATAGTGCTCTTGGCCATGAGGTCAGTGTTAATGAATCAACAATGTATATTAAAGGAGGTGTCTTTAAACAGAAACACATGTAAAACAAAGCTGTGTATTGATTGGTTGACATTGTTACAACCAGAGGCTCACAGGAATCTGACTGTATTGTTCCCCTAGGAGTAATGACTCAGTATTCACTAATTATGTCCATAGTGACTTTTTAGAACATAATGGCCACAAATAACAGTGGGGTATCCTCAATTATCCTCTATTTCCTCTGTTTTCTACAGTAAGCAGTTTGCGATCTCTGGATATCCTACTTACCTAACACAACAGCTCCAGGTCATAGGTCTAGCCTTCCTTGCTACGCTACTCCTTTATGCCCTTCTAAGATTTTCCTCTGGACTTTTCAAAGGCGCCTGCTCATTCTGCACTGGCTTTCTCCACCACCTCTCACAGCATCTGACTAATCCTCGCTTCACCTCTGGGTTCCTTGACATTTCTATCATTGTTTGTATAGGTTTTTGTTTGTTTGTTTGTTTTGAGAGACATGAGTATCTTACTCTGTCAACCAGGTTGGAGTGTGGTGGCACAATCATAGCTCACTGTAGCTTCAACAACCCAGGCTCAAACAATCCTCCCACCTCAGCCTCCCTAACTGGGACCACAGGCGTGTGCCACCATGCCCAGCTAATTTTTTTGTACAGACGGTTTTGCCATGTTGCCCACGCTGGTCTCAAGCTTCCAGGCTCACACAGTCCTCTCACCTGGTGACAGGTGCTGGGATTAGGAAGGTATGAGCTGCCACACCTGCTGTACGGGTCCTTTTACAAAACAGATTTCCTTATTTCTTGTGGGGGCCTCAGTGACTTCTTGGGCTCCCTTCTCCTGTTCTTCCTCAGCCAAAGATTACTACTTCTGTGATCTGTCTACTACATTACTATCTGTGGCCATGAGATCACATGCACACTTTTGACTAACAGTTTGGCTATTTTTCAATAGCCACCTACCAAAAATTCCCTGCCTTAAAACTCCAGGATGATATGGACACTTTTCCCTATTGTCACTTAAAGTACCTTTAGAAACATCTGGTAGGATCCTGAAACTCCACATTCATTTTTGTTCTAATTTTTTAAAACTTTTATTATGAAAAACTTCAAATATATACAAAAGAGAATGCTATAATGAATACAATACACCCAACAGTAAGCTTCCAGAATGATCAATATTTTACCAGTCTTTTTAATATATTCCCTTTTTTTGTTTTTATTTTTGCTGGAAATCTTAAAGCAAAACCAAAACAATGTATCTTTTCACTTATAAAAACATCAATGTCCATTTATAACTAAGGAATAAATTTGTTTTGTTTTTTGTGGTTTTTTTTTTTTTTTTTTTTTTTACTTTTCAGACAGGGTCTTGCTCAGTTGCACAGGCTGGAGTGCAGTGGCACAATCTCATCTCACTGCAGGCTCAACCTCTCAGGCTCATGTGATCCTCTCACCTTGGCTTCCCAAAGTGCTAGAAATGCAGGCATGAGCACCACACTTGGCCAGAAATTTATTTTTAAACTTATTACCATGCCATTAACAAACCTAACAAAATTAACAATATCTTATCATTGAGCACTCAATCCATATTCAAATTTTTATCATCTCAAAGGTGTCTTGTTACAGTTAGTTTGTTCAAAAAGGAGCCCAAAGTCCCCATACTGCATGTCATTACTGACACCATAGTGGGACTAAGGCAAAGGAATGAGCCCTAAGTGAGTTTGTAACAAGGGAGAAAGAAGCTCATTCAACTAAAAGAATTAAATTGGAGGCCTGGTCCACGAAAGTGGAAAAATAAACAAAGAAAACTTAAATCATTCAGGAACGTCATGAAGCAGGGCAAGAGCCAGAGATAAAGCACCAAAGGAGGTAGGACTGTAATTTGAGTAAGGAGAGTAATTAGATAAATGACAGAATTATCTTAATGGAACAAGGACTTTAGCTTTTAAAACTTCACTTTGGATAAATGAAGTAATGAAAAATAGCTATTAAAAAGCAAACTCTTATAGTCATTGTATCTAATTTAATTCCCCAAATTTTAGTTTCATAAGCACCTTTGTACGTCATAGCACTCTAATAATTATGTTTGTCCAGGTGCAGTGGCTCATGCCTGCAATCCTAGCACTTTGGGAGGTCAAGGCAGGTGGATAACCTGAGGTCAGAAGTTCAAGACCAGCCAGGCCAACATAGTGAAACCTTATCTCTACTGAAAATACAAAAATTAGCTGGGCATGGTGGTACATGCCTGCAGTCTCAGCTACCTGGAAGGCTGAGGCAGGAGAATCATTGGAACTCAGGACGCAGAGCCTGCAGTGAGCTGAGATGGAGCCACTGGACTCCAGCGTGGGCAACAGAGTGAGACTATCTTTAAAAAAAAAAAAAAAAAAAGAAGAGGAAGGAGGAGGAAGAAGGAGGAGGAAGGAGGAGGAAGGAGGAGGAGGAAGAAGGAGGAGGAAGAAGGAGGAGGAAGAAGGAGGAGGAAGAAGGAGGAGGAAGAAGGAGGAGGAAGAAGGAGGAGGAAGAAGGAGGAGGAAGAGGAGGAGGAAGAGGAGGAGGAAGAGGAGGAGGAAGAGGAGGAGGAAGAGGAGGAGGAAGAGGAAGAAGAAAGAAGAAAGAAGAAGAAAGGAGGAGAAAGAAGGAGAAAGAAGAAGGAGAAAGAAGGAGGAAGAAGGAGGAAGAAGGAGGAAGAAGGAGAAGAAGGAGAAGAAGGAGGAAGAAGAAGGAGGAAGGAGGAGGAAGAAGGAGGAAGAAGGAGGAAGAAGGAGGAAGAAGGAGGAAGAAGGAGGAAGAAGGAGGAAGAAGAAGAAGAAGAAGAAGAAGAAGAAGAAGAAGAAGAAGAAGAAGAAGAGGAGGAGGAGGAGGAGGAGGAGGAAGAGGAAGAGGAAGAGGAAGAAGAAGAAGAAGAAGAAGAAGAAATTCTAAGTTTAAAATGATCATGGCCAACTCCATGAAACTCAGAACCACCACATGCTGAGAGGAGAGCACAACTCAGAAACCAAGGTTCCCAAAGTCTTCCCTGGGAACCACTAAACTCACACTGAACTCCTGTCTGTCTCAGATGTAGACACACACAGAGAAGTATTTTATATAAGCAATGCATGCTCATTAATTAAAAAAAAAGAAAATTAACCAAGATAAATTCTAATACTTCTCAGTTTTTGAGGTATATTATCAGAAGTAGCTCAAAAACTTCTCCTCTTTAAAATAAGATTTTTGAAAATGCTTCTGTATTCAGTTACAATTCTTTGGGGATTTTCTCCCCAAAGTAAAGCCAATACAGACTCTAGAGAAAGAAGAAATAAGAACTACAACTTAGTACTCCACCAACAACTTGCAGTATTTTAGAGTAGTATGATTAAAAAGTCATCTTAAGTATAACTCTGAAAATGTTTAATGATTACTTTAAATGTGAGCACTGATGTTTGTCTCCACAAGTTAATGATGTTATTATAACATCAAGGTTAAAAGTTGTTTGTTTTACTTAAATAGAAGAGGTTGTCAGCATCTTTATCACTACTAAAGGTAGTTTTAGCATTTCAAAGGGATTTTTTCCTAATTGTATTTTGAGAAACACATTTTTAAAAACACTTATGTACTGGGAACTCACAGATCTTGTCAAATTGAGTCTTTCATATTTCAGTACAAGTCTGGACACATCAAATCTGAAGGAATTTCTTAAAGCTTAGTAAACCAGCCTCTGTGATTTAGTTTCTAGCCAAATAGGAATCTTAGCTTTTACAGTTATTTCAGAGAACTTTCAGTCACTCCGAGAGTGAGAAACTCAGCTAAGATTTGACACTGAAACATTCCAGAAAAAGGGTAATCCCCATCATATATAAACTGCAGTTATTTTACCTAATTGGTATGTGAATCCTTATTTATGTTTCACTAATTTGATTCATTTAATTTAGAAGTATGGTGACTATGCCATATACATAAGCAGATGAGCAGAAGAGTTTATCAACATAAAGCTGACATTGTACACTTTGCACATCTAAGTCACGTGCCATTGTGTACATAGTGTGGAAGGTAGGGGAGGCAGGTGCTCCCACTGTTTTCCCAATAGTGGTAAGGGCTCCATAGAGTCATCGTACCACCTTTGACTGCCATCCGCTTTGGATTAAGGATGTGGTATGAGACTAAGAAATGGCTTTCTCAGGGATTAGCTACTTGCCAGCTCATTTCACTAGCACTTACTACTATCTAGGGGTTCTACTGTCTTGCCACTTACTAGTTGTTCTCAAAATGTGGTCCCCAGATCAGCAGCAGAAACATTACCTGGTATAACGGTTAATTTCACATGCCAACTTGCCTGGACTAAGGCATGCCCAGGTAGCTGGTAAAACATTACTTCTGGTGTATCCAGAAGAAATCAGCATTTGAAATTAGTAGACTTCACTAACCCTCTTCCTGTTTGCCCTGAGAATACTTGCCCACATGCTTGCAGCTGCAGTGTTTACTCCAAGATAATCTTGCCACAAAATATCTTTTTTTTTAAAAATCATTTTCACATTTTTCTAGTATATCAACTTTGGAGACAAAAGATATCATTCTATTTATAGGATTCTGTTTTTAGTAGTGGCATTCCATTTACAAAATACAGTAATTCTCAATTGCTAAAAATGCCAAATCTTAGAAAACACAGCATTCCTCTAAGTGATGTTAACACCGTTCTCTAACAGTTGT